GGGGGGGGGCGTAGACGGGGTTTGGGGTCGGAACAGGCCGCAGTTGGACCGGAATGAACGGCGTGGAGGGTGAGGGGGAACAAACCGGGCGCTGCAATGGACCACGTATGGGTGATTGCGCCCCATACTGATAGACGACAATACGGTACATGATTGCTACATCTATTTTCCTTGAAAAGAGCTGGGCGGTCCACGGTGATCAACTTCACTACACCACGAAACGAAGCGGAGGAAATGGCTCCTTGTCCTCTTGGGGAGACGACGCTCCCACGCGAGACGCTCCCCGTTCCGTGCTCTCATTTCTGGATGTTTCTTCGGCCGCTTCACTCGTGCCACGCCACGAGTTCTCTTGGCGTTTTCTCCCTCGGGCGCGAAAAAACTACAGCAACCACAGCAGTACAGTGAAAAGGGGCGGAGCCGGCCAGGCAACGCAGTCCTCCTCTGAGTGGGTCCTTCCTCCGTCAGTCCCCGCAGAAGAACAACATTGTGTCTGATGCAAAAAAAGGAAGGGTGTCCTGGAACCGGCCTGACAAGAAGCCATCGGGCTGGATGATACCAAGGCGCGTCAAGGCACGCCCGGTCTGCGGCGGGCTATTATGTGTGGATACCGATCAACAGGAGGAAGGTCCACCCAAAAACGAGAGAAGCACGGGCGCGGAGGCAAGACGACCGGTTCTGGCGAAAAATCGCACCGACAACCAAACACATGCGGCTCCAAACCATATACTGCCGAGACCACCGAGGTCAAGCTGGCTGCGGCTGCTCTTGCTCACTCTGCTGACGTCACGCCACTTGCACTTCGGTGCGGTTTCGTCGTAGATCGTTTGAGGGCTGAAGTGCACGCAGTTGGTGTGGCACCAAACGGGTTTCCTGTTTAGCGTCAAGGTTGGCTCATCGGACGCCCACACGTTCCGGTCGGTAGGGATGTCGATAAAGTCCGTTGCCATCTTTATGTGTAACGTTGGATGCATCGAGAGGTAGGCCGGCGGAGGGAGGAACAGAGGGCGGAAGGGGTTGTTGTTGTTGTTGTTGTTGTTGTTGTTGTTGCTGTTGTCTTCACATTTAAAAACCGTTCCGGTCTTCGCTCAGTACCTTGCAACATCCGTACCGGTCCAACTGACGCGGACGCCTCCCTTCCGTGGTCACAACCCAATTACCCAAATAAGGGTACACCAAGTTTCTAGACGAAAAAAAAACGTGAGCGGGGCACGTGTTCAGAATAGACTACGTGATAAACCGGTGGCAAATGAGACGGCTAACTGAGCAGCAACGGCGGGAGTATCGTAACCTAGGTCGGAGGAGCGAGATCGGGAGGTGCTTCGAACGTAAAAACGGTAGGCGATCGTTATGTTCATCCAAACCTTTTGACAGCAACAACAGCATTGTGGGGGATCACAGAAAACGCCACATTCCGTGAACTCGGGTTCTTTGAAATCAACCATGAATGCCGGTGTGCTATGTAAATGATGCTGTGCTAACTGCTAGCCTTGTAGGCCTGTCCTCCATCGGCCGTTTTGCTTGTATGACGGAGAATAAGAAGGTGGAATTACTTGAAATTAGTATAGAAATAAAGTTTGTGTATCTAAATCGAAAATAAAACGGCCGATGGAGGACAGGCCTGTAGCCTTGCTGCCACTGGAGGGGGTCCCGCAACTGGGAGAAGAACTGTCCGCTCAGCAACAAGTTGTGTACACTCACATCTACACATCTACACTGCTCTCTATGGAGAAACCTCCACGGGTGTGCAGATTATCCATGCAGGTCGCCAAGGGATTAGGACGATAGCAGCAGTTCGCACCTCCAGTCCCTCGTTGTGGCCCAGGTTACAGAAACCGCATTTACGGTCGAGCAGGTCGTCTCCGCTGCTGCTGGAAACGGTTCCGCTTTCTTCGCAGCCGTCATCGGAGCGTGGTCGCTTCAGTCCTTCGGACGCCATCACTTCGTTTCAGTGTTTTAGAGCCTCGGGCGTCGAGGGACGTCGGTCGGTAGTATCCTTAACCCGCGAGCATGTTCCGCTGCGCCTGCTGCTGCTGTAGTCTACATACAAAAACTCCGCGTTTGAATTCAAAAAGTAGTGGTCGCCTGTCCTTGCCGTATTGTACGCTCTCCCTGCTCTCGTCTACCTTATCGACGGTGAGATGTATCTGGACCTGGACCGACCAATACACTACGGGAGTCTGTTCAAGCAGATCACAGAGCCCTTCTTCGAATCTTGCAGGGAAGGGACCGCATGCGCGCGGGAGAGAAGCAGATACAGAGCCAGCCTGAGCAGGAGAGAGAGGAGAGAGGGTGGAGGGGGGTTTCAGTAAGTTCTGAAGGCATTTGTATATTGTAACGCCAAAAGCCAGCGGCCAGGGCGGGCCGGGAGGACACAATGCTGTGACACCCACGCGAGCGAGAGACGGGACAGTCGCACCGCCGTCCGCCGAGTGGTTGGCTGACTCTCTATAGCTTCTGTGTCTTCGCTGTGTTTGTTATTGGTGGCGTAGAATAGCTCAGCTGTGAGTGCTGGCTGCTCCCGGCGTAATACAAAAAGCAGACGGAACCTCTCGCTCTCTCTCATGATGTTCGGGTTGTTTGCTGGCACCGACATGTTACCGACTAGGCTGCTCAGGCTGATGGGGCCAGCGGCGCTTCTCGCCGCGTGGGTGTGTACTGGACACGCAGCGCATACGATCGGCTCTGGGATCGGTGGCTCAAGGACTGGGCTTCTCCGGCCACTACCGAGTGAAGTTGCAGTTTCGGAAAGCGAAGATAGGGCAACAGCCGATGATGGGCGAGTTCGCTGCTATGGTCGGGCTCGGTCGGCGCGGAGTCTGTGCGCACGGATGCGGGGCGGGTCGATGGCTGAGGTGATTTTTGTTGTTGTTGTTGTTGTTGTTGTTGTTGTTGTTGTTGTTGTTGGTGGTGGTGGTGGTGATGGTGGTGTTCTTACTCTTAGAAAGGCTTGCCCATTGGACTACTTCGTTACGCACGTGCGTTTACGCACGCTGGCGCGCACTCTTTGATCAAGACACAACAAGGAACTCAGGGAGGTCGCTGACCCTCTGGTCATGTTCACTGACATCGCTCCTTCTGTGTTGTTGGCAGCTGTGTACTGCTGTAGTCTACAGCAGTCGACAGCAGTCTTAATGGGGTTTATTACCCCCTCTGGTGTTCCCTCACCATCTCCAACCCTCAAAAGAAACCGCAAAAAACACTTCAAATGTCTGTGGGGTGTAATTCAAGAGGTGCCAATTCCTAAACTCGGAGCTTCAATTTACAATCTATTCCCTTGACTGCTGTATGAACCTAATGGAAGATTAAGATTGGACATTAGACTATAGCCAGGAGATACCGGACACACCTGGGTAGTTTTTTGGCTCGTGTTGGAATGACGTCTAGTCTACAGCAATGTGTCGATCAAACGCAAACTGTGTGCTTTGCGCTTATTCTAGTTCGAGTTAGAGGTGCAGATGTATCGATGAAGCCGAGCGAGGAGTCAGGCTTGGACAAGTTGTTTTTCCCTACGAAAACACGAGTGTATGTGTTTTAACCACAGATAACTGTTCCGGGACAAATTGTGTTCCATGGTAAACCATGTTTTGGTGCACAACAAAGAGATGCAGAGAAAGAATCGTGAGAGAGGGAGGAAGGTCATGGCCTTAAGTGATGCAAAGGGCAACAGTCCAGCGATGTTTCTTTGCCCCAACGATGTCTCTCACAAGGCGAGATGCCGTCAAGTACGCCACCACAGAAAAAAAAAAGACGCCTCTCTCTCTCTCAGCCTGGCAGTACAGAGGGGTAGGAAAGTGAGGCAGGAGGGAACCCCTCGTGTTTTGAGTGGAGAACAGCAGTAGTGCACAGACCTGCAAGGATATAGGGTTTTGTCAACGGCACTCACACGCAGTCCTGCTGCCGCCTGCGGCAAGGCAGCGCTACGTTGAGAGTGCTGCCGTGCTACGCTTTATGGGGCTGTTGCAGTGCTACTGCTCGGGCACTGGAACTTTAGGGGGTTGTAATGCTGTCTGTGCGAACACGACCCAAGCGACCAGGCTGAGAGCTACCTCCTTAAGTATGTAGTTTTATTTTTGCCGACGCTCAACACCGGACAGACCTCTATCGAGAGTAATCCCAACCGATCGGAGCTCTCGGAACCCCCCCCCCACGAATCAGATCCAGTGGTGGTCACACTATTTTCTGTGCAACAGCATATATCTCTGTCATAAACTTTTCGCCACCAAATATATGCACAGCTCGAGGAAGATATATATTCCTTGAAAGTCAAGTCTGGTCGGCCGTCAGTATCGCTCTTCGCGGAGCTGGTCGAAGCTTGGTTTTCCGCAAACACACGCCATCCCGAAGTATGAAGAAAGGAGTTCGACTACTTCCAAACTTTCAATTCACTAGTTGTGCGTCTCTTTCCCGTACTACGGTGAACCCCACGGCTGTCTTGCGCCCCTCGTAGTTCTGTCTCGAGACTCCTACACTTCAGAAGAGTTTGGGACTTCTGAATCTCCGCGGGGTAAAAGCATCACTTGTGTTGGCTGCTGTACTGATTCACTATGGTTCTGGTGGTTGCACGAGATAAATGGCCGTGTATGCTGTCTCTCTGGAGGTGGATGCCGTTGTATCTGGCTACGCAGCGGCAAGCTTCAGGCCTCGTCTCACAGAAATGATTGTTTCCAACGAGGGTCGTTTACTCCAGACTTCCCCCCTTCTTGTGAATTGGTGTTGTGTATCGTCACACCTGTATCTAGTCTATCACCTTTCTTGTAGCCCAGCACTGCCGCAGGCTAGCTGTCGAAGGAAACACGATAGGCGCAGGGTTTCCGTGGCGCTAAACGCAAGTGCCAAACCAATGCACTTGCAGATAAACAGTATCATGTGTTCATCTACGTTACGTGCCAACTAAGATGATAGTTTTTTAACCGCTCACACGCTACACCTGAGGGCGGTTGGCCTCTCCTCATATGCTATCGACGGCTGTGCCGTGGTTCTAGAAACAAACGTGCCTTCTTGGAACGCCGGAACCAAAATACTTTTGGAGGTTTCCTCTCACCACCAACCCACTTGCCGCTCGTCTTCCACGGTGCACACGTCGGCAATATGTATGTGCGGCTTGTATTGGATCGGATTGGATTGGATCTGACCAGAACCAAGGGCCTACCGACTACTTGTCCACCCTCCAAGACCAGAGCCAGCCGTGGTGGACAGACGGCAAGAACAAGGCGGTAAGCTCGCGGTCACACCCTCGGTTTTGGTTAGGTTCCCCTCGCTGTAGATAGATGTGCGACGTTTTTGAAACGCCCACAGATCGCCCCCTCTCATCGTGTGGGAAGCCAGGGCACGCGAGGTGATCTCTTCTCCGGAGATGATTCGAGCCGCGACTCATCCTAGTGGTGTATCATTTTTCTACGGCTGTTGTCGGCTTCTCTGTCGGCTCTGAGAAGCAAGCGTGTTTTTTTCGCGTTAGACGTGAAGATCCACGAAGGCAAGGAACTATATAGTAAAATTTGACAGTTTTTCTATCTGGCCTACGGTTTGTGAGGCCGGTTGTGTAGTGGATGTCGTTGTTGTTGGTTCTCTGTCGTTGTTGCCGAAGTGTCGTCAATCGTGTTTAAAGCGAGGCGTCATCCTGTTTTCTTTGTTTGTCATTATAGCTTGTTCCTGACTGCGCTGCTCATTTCCCTCGTTTCGGCGTGTTTTTTTTTTCGTGTGCCTCTCTTGGCTACTCCGCCGAAAGAAACGAAAGAAGCAGGTTCGTGCTGCTGGTGGGGGGGGGTCGGCGGACAAGAAGAGGACGGCAGGGTCTGCAGTAGCGTCAAGAACAACTAGCTCGTCGAGGGCTGGCTCATCATCGCCATCGTCATCGTCAGCAACGGCAGATCTCAGGTGGCTTGGAGGGAAAGAGTGTACGCATGCCGTAGTCGTTAGACCATAGACCTCGTACCCCCTACAATGTTGGGACGGAGCGATATGCCGGGTTTTCGCCGACCCAGGCTACGTTTCACACGGATGGACCAGAAGCTGGTTGGTCACCATCCTTGCCTTCGCTGTGCAAATCCGGGCTTGGAGGGTCGGGGGTTAAGAAGGGACAGGACGGCGCGAAGAGAATGTATTTCGCTGTGTTCCGTTGTCATCGATCTCTCGAAGTTGATGGCCCAATCGACCGCGCACGTGGGGCACGTGATTACGTCGTTCGTTTGTTTGCTCGTGCCTGGCTGTGGTTAAACCATGCCAAACTAGCTCGCGCTGGTGACAGGAGGGATTCAACACGCTTTTGTCGCCGTCGGGAGTAGCCCTCGCTCTGCAGATTCCCAAGGCGGCAAACCCTGATAGCATCGTAGCATACGCCTCGCTATAGTTCGACGGGGCAGTCGCTGCCCACCATCCCCCCCGCCCTTTCCCCGTAGTAGGTTGCGGTGTTCCTATGCGCATCTGTGTCGTTATTGTTAGCATTGGGTGCGCTACCCGACTGATCAATGGAAATACGTGTGCCTGTGTATTCTCTCTCCCTTGGTGGTGTATCGGCCATGCTTGCCGGCTGATCAGTGAATAGTGCCGGTTGTTACTCCTCGCTTTTTGTTGGTGTTTTCCCCGCCCTGCCTGTCATTTCGTCTCTTGTGGGGTTCGTGTCACCACCTCCCTTCTGTCTCACTCATCCTCACATGGCACCGCGCCTTCTCCTTAGGCATCATGCTCCCCCACCTCTCTTGTCGCATGCCTGATCAACCCTAGCACCTCTTCTACTTCCTTACCGCTTTTTTGTCGCGGTTCTCTCTCGCTTGCCTCGCTTCCCCCCATCTGGCAGCCCCACGGGATGGGCTGCCCTGCTCGCCCTTCCCATCGTATTCCTCTCCGGCAAGTACAATACCGACGGCAGCAGCAGCAGGGCGGCAGCGGCAGTAAAAGTCAAACCCGCGGCGGCAAAAAAGGCGAAACCGCCTTCCCAAGCCGTGCAGAAGAAGAAAACGCCTACTGCGCCGAAACCCAAGGCAAAACCGAAGCCTACGCCCGCGCCGGCCAAGAGGAGCGGCCCTCCGGCGGCCAGCAGAGGCGGCGGAGGAGTTGCCGGTGTCGTTGGCGGCGTCTTAGGGAAGCTGGTCCCCGACAACGTGAGTGGGGATGTGTCGAGACGGCGTCTTACCACCGTGGTTAGCGTTAACGTTCGTCGGTGTGTACACGTTCGGCTGGGCGTGTGTGGCTTTTGGGTTGTTGGCGTTGGCGTTGGATGGTGAGGGTGGCGGTCCCGTGGCGTCTATACAAGGAAATTCTCGCTGGCTGTTGCCCGCTTGTTTTCGTCGACGTAAAATCTGTGAAGCGCGCAGCTAAGGGAGGGCACAGCTAAACCCTTTTCGTGATCAGTAATGGGGTCAGGCACCGCGGGGGGAAAGGTGAAGACAAGAAGGAAATTGAGAGTGTACGTTTTCTGCGGCGTGACCCCGACAGGCGTGTCAAACATACACCGAAAAGTGTATCGTAGGCTGGTGCCCAGAACAGCTGGGACGATTACATACACGCATCATACGCAACACTGCGATTGGACGCCTGAACCAATCTTTTCGTGGTGCTAGGATATGTTTGTATCTGCGTTGAGGCCCGTAGACCCTTGCATATTCCAGTGGCGATGGGCCCTCGGTTGAGCTGTCGTCGATCACGTGCTGGAAAAACGGCAGCTTGGCCGCGCTAACGGCAACCAGCAGTGGTTGCCGTGTGTAACCTTGGAAGGGCAACAATTAACACTCATGACCGGCCACTGCGCTAGCCTCCATGTACAATTTGGCACATCCCCACATCTTTTGAGAGCCTTGCGCCAGCTCCTTTCCCTCTGCCCTCCTCACATTCCATGATGCAATACGGTTGTGCTACGGTTGTTGAGCTGTTCTTTCTGCTACCGCCGCTGTTGCTACCGCCGCCGCCGCCGCCGCCGCCGCTCCACTGCTCTCTTCCCGGCACTGCGCCTCTGCTACATGCTCCTGATGTTGCTCTCCTTCACCTGCTGTTGCCACCACCGCCGCCACCGCCTCTGCCGCTGCCGGTCCTCCGTGCCGCCGCCCCAGCAGGCCTACCTTCGGTCCCTGTTGATCGTTGCCATCGCGGCGCTCGGGAGCGGAGGCCTTCACGCCCTCACCACCAGCAACCTGCTGCGCGCGGCATGGCCAATCACCCTGGTTGACCCTTGGCAGGTAAGCGTACTTGTAGAAAATAGGCCAAGCGTCCAGCCGTCTTTTCTGCCACGCACTGTAACGACTTCAACCCATCCCCTTCGATTGTGGAAATATCTCGAAGGGGTATTTTCTGTGCTTGTTGTATGTATATCTGCCAAAAAACGGTGTTTGTGGTGTGTACGCGTATCGGACGTAAGGCGAAGAAGGGCTGCTGGGTTGCCTCGTTTGTAGCTGAACTCGATGGAGAGTGGACGGGTGGTCTAGAGGAGGGATGGCCCGAACCTCTGCCAACGGCTTGGAGCAACCATTCTGCTGTCCTCGCTCTTTGCATCAGTGGCTTCTTGGGTTCGGACGAGAGTTCGCGCAAAACTCTAGCTAGCGTGTTTTTTTCGCAAAGGGTTTGTAGAGATAAACTACTGTAGGCATTCTGGGCGACGCCTCTCCTCTTAGAATACTGGTCCCTTCCGGGGCACCTTGATTTTTACCGGCCGACGCTGACGTGTTTTCGTTGTTGAGCCGGTAGTGCTGCCAATCCCAATATATATTAACCCCACACACGCGCGTATTTAGTGTTTTCAACCCGGAGACTGACGTCTTTTGATTGGTCAGGCGGTTAACATGGTCGACGCTAATAATAAAAACACGCACACGCGTTGCGGTAGTTTGCCTGTGACCACGGCAGGCGTCCGCGTCAGTCAGTTGGACCGACCACGGATATCGGGTACTGAGCGGACGCCGGAATGTTTTTAATATTGTAAAGGCAACAACAACCCGCTCTCTCTCTCTCGCGCGCGCACTGGGGGGCCCCTCCTTCTGTCTCTTCTGTCTAAGGTGCTCGCTGCGTCCGCGTGGGCGTTGAACATGCGTGCCACGTTCGGCGGCGGCCGGCTGGACGGCATCGGGCAAAGCGGGAGCTCGGGGACCCGTCCCGTCAGGTTCTTGTCGCCGGCAGGATGGGCATTCGCCATCTGGGGACCCATATTCTTCGGTGAGTGTTCACCACACCACGGAATGAAGGAAGAGGGAGTGTTGACTACACCACGGTATGAGGGAAGAGGGGTAGGGAGGGGTGGATTGTTGTTCGGGACAGAGGAGATGAGGATGGGCAGGTGGGATCGAGGGAGAGTGACAAGTTTGTGATGCTCACCACGCCGGCATCGTGCGGCGGCTGTTATTTGAAGTGTGCTTGTTCTACATACGCCGTACGATCCACTCACTGTGTATACCGAGCAGCATAAATCACTTCTCAAGTACCTACGCCGTTTGCTGCACTCCTTCCGGTGAACGACTGAATCCACTACCGCCCCCCACCTCCCCACCCCCCGGTCGCGGCTTGGCTCCCTCCCTTCTGGCGTCAGGCGAAGCGATTTACGTGGCCTTCCAGCTGATGCCTCTGCCCTCTATCCGCGGATCGTGGTGGCTGTCCGACATCAGCCCTTGGTTCGCTGGCGCCATGCTCTTCCAGGTGAAAACTCGCAACCGTTTGTGGTACAAGACACACGAAGAATATAATAGCGGAAGGAATTCCATATCTCCTTTGTGTCGCCTCTGTAGTTTGTAGAAACTCACAGCAGCAGCAGAAGCAGCAGCAGCAGTGCAGGGAGGCAACCGTGAACCTTACTTGTTCTTATTTCCCGTTGCGAGGGATACCCCTTTTTTTTTGCTGTAGCCCGCGCGCCCCCAATTTACCGCCTGTCCATGCCGCATTCGAAACACTTCCTTCAAGTATTGCGTTTAGTACGCGAGACGGAAAACACTCACACACAGACTGATGTCTTTTCATTGCTCAGCCGGTTAGCGCGGTCGATGCTAATAATAAAAGCACACGCACACAAACGCAACTCTATGCAAAGTCCGCCTCCTCGCAACGCTTTGCCCGTTTACCCCCAACGCCCCCACTTGGTGTTGTGCTACAGCTTGGCGCGGTAAATGCCTGGCGTGCTTTCTCCGTCCCGGCTTCGTAGGGATTCGAGGTCGACGTTCTAACGACTACGGTATGCACGGCCATGAGTACCTCCCCCGTTTGCCCCCAACCCGTTATCCAAACGCCGACGGCTCAGGCTCTCTGGTGCTTCTCCTTCCGACCGTGGGCGAGGGACAGCGGACTACTCTGGCTGCCGGCGCTGCTGCTGGGGGGCACGGGAGTCGCCCTCGGCGGCGTGCACGGCATCCTTAGAGAGGCGTGGTTCACCAGCGACATGAGCGTCCTCCAGTACCTCGCGGTCCACGTCCCCCTCAGGTATGTATGTAGTGGTACGTCGGCCGTGTTTGTGTGTCCCCGTGCCGAGTCTTGTCTGTAACATGTTTGCGTCTGTCTGCGTGTGTATTTCGCTGTGAAGATTACTAATCTGTGGCTGTGAGGTTGCGCATCTCGTTTTCTCCTCCGTCTTGCGTATGCAGCCGCACGTGTCTTTTTGCCTACCTTTTGGCCATGTGCCTATGTGTCTGTCTTATGGTTGTCGAGTTTCTGACCAGGATGAACCGCCGCAACCAGTTCTGATCAACGAACATAGATTACAAGTAGCTCTCGGCATGGAAACGTCATTGTCAGTGCGTCTACAAGGTCCATGTGTCTCTTGATATGTCTGTGCCCTTTTTTCTAGGGTACCATGGTATCTTATTTTATGTCTGTTTATCGATTATTTCTTCTTATGCCTTATCCAGGCATGTAACCCTTATTTTCTTTCGCCGGTCTGTCTGTATCTGTCTCAGTCCTCTTGTGACGAGAATCAGTACTGTCAGTGATGTGTTCCGTCAAACGACGGGTTTGCTGCCGTGGAGGCTAGTTACACCAGTAGCACTACTGCTTTTCTATCAGCAGCTGTCCTTCGTTCAATGATGACCCTCAACCCCCCCGCCTCCGCGCGCTTTCTACACCGACGTGCGTCAGCCTCCACTTCGGCTGGATATCATGCGCTACGTTGGTAAACCTGAACGGCTACTTCGCCACGATAAACAAGCTGTCGAACCGAGTCAAGCTGGGTTTGGCTCTGGGCTCCGTGGTTGCGGCGGTGGCGCTGGGGGTCGCGATAACCCTCCTCCGGGAGGACCCCATCTACGCGGCCGTCGTCGCGTGGGCTCTCTGGGCTGTGGGGAGCCCCGCAGGATGGGACGAGCTCCGGGTGGGTACCTATATTTGTTCGTTAATTGCTCGTTGTTTTGTTGACGGTATTCTACGGTTGTGGTATTTGCTTGGGCCGTGTGCGTGTTGTGTTTTGGATTCGCACCGACCACGCTACCCGATTGACCAATGAACAAAACTTCCGTCTCGGTGAGACTGGAAACAGATAATGCTTCTAAAGGCCATCATCTGGGACCCCGCGAGGGGGCATCATGGGGGGGGGGGGGCAAGCTGCACTCCGGAATAGAGACTGTGTGTGTGTTTTTATTCGTTCACAAGTGTGAAACTGCATCCATTCGCGTTGTGATGGTGCGCTCAAACGCGGACCTGATAATCTATCTGTGTGTCACCCAATCGAGAAACACCCTCCCTTTATCTCTCTAGCGAATCAGAGTACCTTCAAGGGAGCGGTGGTGTAAACGTCCGCCAACGGAGGGTCGTTTTTTCTCATGTGTTGGCGACAAGTGCCAAGCGTGCCCGAGGGTACTCACACAGCCTAGGGTTAAGATAGGGTGGAGAGTAAAGAAATCTCGCGCGCATCACTCATAGGAGTCAAAATATCACCGAACTGTTCGCAACATTCGGCGGATCATTCTTGGCAAAAATGCCTCGGAATATCATCCGTCAGGTCGCCAGAGATGTCTACTGCTGCTGCTGTGTGTACAAAAAACTAGGAAGGTGTATTTTTCTTATCCTGGCGTTCACCTGGTTTTTGTTGTTTCTTTTTCCACCCGTGGCCTAACCCCGAGACTAAAGTAACGGCGCTTGTCATGACCCTGTACCCAACGTCTATGTAACCTGATTCGTCTGTCTCATCCCCTCGTTTCTCGCCCTGCTTGTGTTTTCACGGCGATTCTCTCCGTGCCCGAAAAATGATTAAAACAGGGCCGTGTGGAGCCGGGCTTGATCCGGACACAACAAGGCGTAGCGAAGGCCGGTGCCGTCATCACCGCCGGCGCTGCCTGTATGCTCGTGGGGCTGTCCCTCAAGGACCTTGTCATCGGCGCGGGAGGGGGCGACTACGACGAGGACTACTGATGACGGATAGCGCCCTCTCTCTCAAGAAACTTGGTAGTTATGAACTTGATGCTCTACTTTATCCCAAAATCGAGGCCCCATTTGTGTGAGTGTGGTTGAGAACCCAACAACATAACGTACGTAGCGGCCATTTGTCGCCCACAATAGGAACTAAGTACCCCCGCCCCGGCCAAAGGTAGAGCTTCTTACGCGCTGTCTGTATTTCAACGACGCCGTAGCACGGGGGAGGCAAAAGTTGTACTGTACACCATATGCATACATCCGGAGTATGCTTCACGTCTTTTCTAGACTGTGTTGGGGCTGATTTCAACAGACTGTTCGTAGAGTCGTTCGAGTGGCTTAAATACTGATTTCAGGATTCATGTATTTGGTTTGTCGGTTAGTTCTGACTTTCTGTAGGAAATATACATGTATATACCACATGGCATGTTTTTCGAAAACATTTTTTATCTCGATGCAGATGAATTTGATGCTTGCATCTGGCTGTTTGACCCTTCCATCGATCACATTCAGTCAGTAGATTTGATTTGCGTTCTCGGCAATGTGCGGTAACGGAAGGTAGTGCGGATATTAGAAGAGTCAGGATTGGCAATCAAAAGTTAGGTTTGGCAATCACGCTGCCGTGTTGATGGGTGTATACAAAACTTCACCGTTTCGTGTTCACGCCGTTGTTAGTGCTTGCAAAAAATGTGAGCCGACAGCAAAAGTGGTTGCTGGCGGAAGTCACAACAACCTGGGTTGTTTCGAATCAGACTTCTTCGTGGCCACGGCACGCGTCTTGTGTTGGGGGGCCTGTGGATGGATAACCTGCGAGCACGCGGCACAACCGGTGGTAATGCTCAGTTCGCCGAGTTCCGACAAGTGTCGTAGGGAGCTGCACATTACTGCAGCTTTTCAGTTTTTAGCGCCGGCACGTATGGGTTACAGAAGAGCCTCTTATTTTTGGCCGTTTCTCGTTTCTGAATTCTCTATTGGATAGAGACCCACGGTGCCTGTATACGTCTTACTGTGAGCTTCTTGGCTGAGCACCTGACCAAGTTCAAATTTATATTTTCGAGCCTGAATTTATTAACTCCCGGGTACTCAAGTGCGGGTGCTAACTGCAGTCTTCTTGTCCGCATGATGAGCAAGATGCTTTGCATTCACTCCGAAATACGCCTTCGCAATCAAACTCGAAGAAAGTCAGGTGGTGGGATTCTTTGTGATTTTGAAGGTCTTTACGGAGCCAAATCGTACGGATGTGGGGCCACATGAAAGCCTTTGAGAATCGTGGCCGCGATCATTCGGAAGGACACGCTTCTCCAACAATATTTTTGACACGAAATAGACAGCCAGACACCCGAAAATATGGTATCTACCAAGGCTCGGTTAAATCCCACACGAAGAGCCTTCCCAGAAGTAAGTGCACATGTATGCCAACACACAGCGGCGAAATGTACATGACACTAACTAAACGACACACACGAAACATCCATCCAGATTAGATGCCATCCAATCTTGTCTTGGACGCCTGGAGGAACCCCGCCCTACACCCTGCCGAACACTCGTAACTTCTCGCGCCTTCCCACGGACACAGCGCACTGGCTGGCAAGATACCGCACGGGCGACACCTCCACGAGCAGACAGCATACAGCAGGAGAGCTACAAATATCTCGGCATGGCTTTCGAGAAACCAAAAAAGATGGTTTTGAGTGCAACAATAAGGCAATGTTCACCCGACAACAGACACGAGGTGTCGGGTGAGACCTCATACAGAAAGCGTGTCGAGCTTACGCCACACAGCCGTGCGTTCCACGTGTCTCGTCTTGATTCAGCCACGGGGTGCTGCTCTTACTCCTCAGCAGCACAGACAAAAAGACAACCAGCCAGGTCTAGAAGAGCGGAAGGCGCGGCACGTCCCTCTCTCTTCTCTCCGAGGCCTTTCTCGCCCTCCGCAGGTGCTGCGTGGCCTGGAGGTAGTTGAAGTACATCGCCGCCGCCCGTAGCACCAACCTGCAATGGTGTGGTACATGGCGTTGAGGGA